AGGTCCTCCTAAATCTGTTTCTTCACATGGGTTCAGATGAAACTTTTGAAAAAAGACTTGGTCAAATACATACCTTTTATTTAAAAAAAATAGTTTGATTAATACATAGTTCCTTAATCTGCTAGTGTTGTTATGACAATGGAAATATTTTCATCATGTGGAACTCATCATCATTATCTTAAAACTGCTATTTATTTTTCTCCTCCCTCCCTCCCCCCACTCTCTAAAAAATGGGCCACAAACAGCAGAGATGCATTTGAAAATTCTTCCCTTTTCTACAGCTCCTGATGATACCTCTGTTAAGAAATAATGGTAGTAATGGACAACTGCAATCTTTTTCAATATGTTGCTCTTCAAATTACTCAGACTACAACTGTCATTACTCCAAGCCAGCAGTCATTGGAAACAAACTGATCTAGTGATTGATGCAAGAAACTGGGAGATTGTGAGTTCTAATCCCACTTTAGGCAAGAAGGCTGCTTTCTCAGCACAAACCACCTTACAATATTTAAGCATGCATAGCCATCCTTTAAAATGATGCAGCAACAATACTACCTAGCCTTACTCTTCTCCTGCTTCTGGAAATTATTTTTTTGTATGGTTTACAGACAGCTTATGTATGCAGTTTGTCCATTATATCTGAAGTATGCTAAATTGCTCTGTTAAATTGAGAATTTGCTAATGCCACCATAATCAAAGGACTTACTCTAAGTATGAATAAACTTGGATCTAATTTTAGACCTTATTGTATATAGGACTGGAAGGGATCTTGGAGGACCTCTAGCCCAACCCCCTGCTCAGGCAGGAAATCCTATACTATTTATACTATTTGAGACAAATACTTGTCCAATTTCTTCTTGTTGGAGTACCCACAACTCCAGGAGACAAGCTGTTCTACTGATTAATTACTCTGAATGTCAGGAAATTCCTTATTTCTTCTGATGAGTTTTCACCCATTGCTTTTGTCCTACTCTCAGGTGTTATGGAAAAGAAGTCAAAACCTACTTCCCTATGACAGCACTTCAAATGTTGGAAAACTGATATTAGGTCTCCCTCAGGCCTTCTCTTCATTAGGCTAAATATATTTGTTTCCTTGGCCATTCATTATATGATGGTATGGTATGGTATAAGTTTATTTATAGGCCGCCCTTTTCCCTGAGGGGACTCAGGGCGGCTTACAACTTATGTGGGAGGGGATATATGATGTAGTCTCCACACACCTTATCATCTTTGTTGCTCTTCTCTGCACTCATTCTAGGATCTCGGATTTTTTTTTTAATATCATGATCGGAACCGGACACAATATTCCAAATGTGGCCTCACTAGTGCAGTATAGAGCAGAACTATCATGTCCTGTGATCTTATCCTCTGTTGATGCAGCCTAGGATTATGTTGGCTTTTTTGGCAGCTGTAGAACACTCTTGACTCATACTTAAGTGGTGGTCCACCAGGACATCTAAAGCCCTCTCTCAGACACTACTGTTGAGCCAAGTACTGCCTATTCTAAACTTGTACATCTGGTTTTTCTTGCCTATGTGAAGGCTCTTACTTTTCACACTGTTGAGCTGCATCTTTCTGAATTCTGAAGCTATCTTCCAAAGCAGTAGCAATTCGTCCCAGCTTTGTGTCATCCATACATTTTATGAGAAGTCATCTGTCAGAAATGGAAACTCATTTATTATTACATCAAATCATTGTGAGCTGTTCTCAATACAATCCTCACTTGACTTACTTTAAGTCAATACAACTGATAATTAGAACTGCAGAAAAAAATAATTGCTATCAATCTGCCTTTTATTGAGGACCTGTATACTGCATGAGTCAAAAAGAAGGTTGTGCAAATACCTGCAGACTCCCCACTTGGACATAAATTGTTTCAACTTCTACCCTCAAAACGACGCTATAGGGCACTACACACCAAAACAACTAGACACAAGGGTTTTTTTCCCCCAAATGCCATCACTGCTTAACAACTAATTCCCACAACACTGCCAAATAATTTACCAAGTCCGTATTACTCTTATTTTTCTTTTCCTTCCTAGTATCTATCTCTTCCCACTTATGAATATAAACATGTTGCTTGTATCTTTCAATTTATATTGTTTTTGTTTCCTAGTATGATTTGATAGATTATTAGTAACTTGACTATCACTGTGTTGTATCTTTTTATTCTTGATGAATGTATTTTATTATTATCTAGAGGGCATGCACCAAAGACAAATGCCTTGTGTATCCAAACACGCCTGGTCAATAAAGAATTCTATTCTACTCTATTCTATTCATTTTCAAACTCTTATGGTAATTATTTTCTATTAAGCATTTTTAGATATTTACTTAGCACTTCATAATGAGAATTCTTTTATTGCTTTGAGTGAAGGAAGAAGCCCTCAGTAGCATTCCTAGAATTCCAATGAAATGAATCAGCTAGTCTCTGTTATTATTTATTCAAACAATCTTTTAAAATGCAAGCCAAAACAACACTCAAGCTATTTTGCGGTCTCTAGATGGAGCTGTGGATTCAGTAATATTCTGTAACTTGTTTGACAAAATCTACTAAAATACCTATTTCATGCTATGTTTCTCCTATGAGGAAATCCACGGCCCTGGAAGTCTTTGAGGATATGTAAATAGTATTTACTGTTTCGCCAGGGTCATTGCTTTGTGAAATCTATTTGAATCGGCTGTATAAAAACTGTTGTAGTGATAAATCTCCACTCCACCTACTTTGTGGCCTTTAATGCAGCTGCTGAATTTCAGGAGCATGGGAAAAAAAAGAAGTAAAAATAAAAACTTGTTTTCATTTCATAGAATCTGTTCAGATGAATAAAGGGACCATTTCCTGAACTTCTTTGTATTCTTTGTTAAAATGTAAAAGCGCAGAAATTTTTACAAGCAATTTACCAGGCGAGTGACATTACTTTGGAAACAATGTACAGAGAAAAAGTTGGACTTTTAAAAATGACACCCATCTTCTTCTCCAAGGAGATTGGAAGTGCATGCAAAGCATTCTTCACACTTCAGGCCTATTTATCTCACAAGCGTTTTTCTGAGCTAGTTTAGGATTACTGGCTCAAAGTCATGGAAAGTTTCATGGCTGAGAAGATTTGAACCCCCCATTCCCCCAATTCTTTTTATAATCTAGTCTTTCTATGCTGGGAATGATAGAAATTGTAGTATAATGGATGTAGGATCAAGATGTATTGGTATGTCATCAACACTTCTGGAAGGCCTCAGAATAAGGAAAACTGCTTTAACCACTGGACATACCTTTCAGTTGATATTCAAAATAAAAAAGTATTATTTCTATCAGGAAAAATCCTTACTCCATCTATTGTATCATCTTCGCTCTGCCAACTATGTCACAGAATAGTAGCTCACCAATACCACAGGCAAGAATTGGCACAGGCAGCACTGAATTCTGTGTTTGCACAAGGAAACATCTTTGGAGGCAAGGGAGAACAATATAACTAATGACTCAAGTAATAAAATTGAATTTTCACAATGGTCTCCAGTGCCAGAGACAAAGTGCTTTGCGTTGTTTATGTAAGAACCACCGTTGTTTTCTTTGGACAAAAAATGTATTTAGTTATATCGCTGCTCAATTTTAGGTCATCCTTTTATTTTTATATTTCTTAAGAATGGCTTAATTTACTTTTTGCAGAAAGGCAATGCAAAAACAAATTATCAAGAAACATAAATCAGAAATATGTGTTTCATTGTTAAAAAGCTAGATTGGTGCAGAATTGTGAAACGGAACACAAATGTTTTAAGAGTTTATTATTTTTCTAATGTCTCAAACAACATAAATCTAAGTTAAAAAGAATTCCTGATTATACTTGAACAACTCAAATAGGGATTGACTATTTTTAACAGACTGTCAGCAAAATGTCAATTAAAAAGAGGGACTTGCTGCAACATAAGTAATTGAGTACATCTCTGCCAATGTTATATAGATATATTCTAGTAGTTACAATAGCTGCTGGATTATAAACATTCTGCCACACACAGAAACATAGTATTAATTTTAATATTAAACTTCTTAGGGGATTTACTTAAATATTTTTACCACATTTATCTATAGTTTAAAGAGCCAGAGGTATCATATTACTAGAGACAAGTAGCCTTAAGCTCCATTATGCTTAAGCACATATTAACTCTCTGTCAAGTCAATGGGACTTCAAGTATTTTTCAAACCAATTTTATCTCATTGTTAATTGCATTTTCTGAATCCACACTGTAACCACTGAGTTTTAACAAAACCACTAATAAACACTGAAAGGACCAAAGCAATTTGCTGTGTAGAAATTTGTACTTGCTACAAATTTGGCGAGGATGCAAGTATACCAAATTTAAGCATCTGTCTGGTTGGGCAGTCCAAGAATTGAAAGAGTTGTCATAGCCACTATTACTTCCCTTGGATTAGTAGTTCTTCTTACTCCTTAAGGTTTCTTTTGTTCCTTTGTGAAATGGCCACTGTGTTCAAACACACTTCTTTAAACTTGCATACTGAAATTTTTATGCCTCCCTGATCAAGAGACTTGAGCACATTAAGTGAGAACATAAGCTACCTCTCAGAGCTTCATTCTCACTTTCACATCTCACACTGCACCATTTAAATTACCATGTTTTTCAGACTATAAGATGCTCCGAAGTATAAGATACACCCAGCTTTTGGGGAGAAAAACAAGAAAAAAAATCTGCCACCTATTGTCACCCCTGCATGCCCCATTTTCGGCTTCCATGTGTCCCATTTTCAGCCTGTTCCAGGTGGCGAGGATTGCCGTGCCTATTCCCTCTGCCTGGAACAACCCGAAAATGGGATGCGAGGAGGCCAAAAAGGGGGCACGTGGAGGCAGTGATAGATGGCAGCGGTGATGGGTGGCAATGGTTCTAATAGGCGGCGGCGATTCCTGCAGCCTGGAACAGCTGATAGCTGGTATTCCGGGAGGCAGATCCAACCGCCAATGAGCTGCTTGTGCTAAATCAGGCTGTGCTGAAGCTGATCACACTGCTTGCTATAAGGAGGCAAATTGCTGGGAGACAGAGGCTGAAGGGTGGCGGCGATTTGGCAATATTCACTGTATAAGATGCACAGACATTTCTACCCACTTTTTTGGGGGGAGAAAAGTACATCTTATACTCTGAAAAATAAGGTAATCAAGTTTCTTCCTCAGAGCCACTGAAAGACTCCTTTCTGAAACAAATCTATTTTTTGAGCATGAAAAATAATATTTAATAATAAGATGTGCCTTGTTAAAAATACTATCAGTGAGTTACCTCAGTGATTACAAGTTTTGCACCATAGAAGGACAGTTTTGGCAAGTGTTAAGGCCAAAGGAGTCTTTGAAGTCTGGAAAAATTATAAAGGAAGATTTTCTTTAATTAATCATTTTTCCAGTTTGACTAGTATTCAGATTTAGCAGTCTCCTGGCAATCTCTCCTCTGTTATTGTATCAAAATATTAAATTTGATAAGACACCCTGTCAGAACAGTCTCATTCTGTTTCAGAATTCAATTCTTTTTATTTCTGAAATTCCAGAGTGTTTTCTGGCATTTTAACATGGACAAAGCTCTTGCTTCTCTCTCCTTCACCTTCCTCTGAGTTACCTTCAATAAACAACTTCCACAAGGAGGCAAAATATGCAATTCCAACGGGATTTTCAGATGTCAGTAGTGGACTGAACTCGCTCTCACAGCTTCATCTGAAAGAATGATACCAATTTTTGAAGACTTATTGGAAAGATTTTTGAGAAACCATACATGATGTGTTTTAAAATCTAGAAACGTGCTAAAGAAATGCTTTCTGCTAGGAGTGCAATGTATTGTAGAGCTATGCTAATTTGCACAAAATAGCCATCCCAAATAAAGAGATTTACAAAACATAGAATGTAGAATCATATGGCTAAAAGGAACTTCAGAGAGTTCTTCTAGTCCAATCCCCTGCTCAAGGCAGAGACCTTATACATCCTGGGTCAAATAGTTGTCCAGTCTATTTTTGAAAACCTCCAGTGATGGAACACCTACAACTCTGGGCAGCAAGCTGTTCCACTAATTGTTCTTGCTGTCAGAAAATTTCTCCTTACTTCTAAGCTGGATCTCTCTTTAACAAGTTCCACCTATTCATTTTTGTCCCACCCTCTGGTGCTTTGAAAAATAAGTCAATCCACTCTTCTTTGTGACTGTACTTGAAGTACCGGAAGACAGTTGATCCTTCTCTTCCTTGATGCTTCTCTTCAATAGGTTAGACTTACCTGCCTTCCTCAACCATTCATCATACAATTTGGCTTCTGGATCCTTTATCATCTTTATTGCTCATCTCAGCTTACGTTCTAGGCTTGGCATAAGTCTGCATCGTGATATCAATGTATCATAGAAAGGCCATGGAACGGTATCAACACTATTGTGGTTATTGTATTATATAGAAATTCATTCATATAGCCCATTGTTTTCCATAGGAATATATTTCAAGTGAGTATGAGCGAATTTGCAACACCAAAATAGCAATTCTTAATGAATCAAGACCAGTTGTTAACTTGAATTATATTTCCACAGTTTGGTAGTGGAATATGTTTGATTTCAAATCTTGTCCATTGAAGCTTGTCATATTGCAAACTGTTGGGAGATCAAGTCCCTCCCCACAGAGCAAACCTCCAATTTGCTGATCCTCCAAATTACTGTCACTGCAACAATTTACAATCCACTGGGTAGCTGGCGGCAACTGAGGTAGGGTGCCAGATCCTCCAATGAGAAAACAAAGCAGAGGAAAAACTGTGCACAAATTATCATTTGCAGAGGAGACAGGTTGAATTTTATTTGGGAAAAAGAAACTACACATTTAAGAAACTGATATGCTCTTGTGAGATTTTGTTCTCCCAATGTAAAATGCTTTTTGTTTGAACAGAACAGAGCTCACAGATGCACGCACTGCTAATGATATGTCATTTAATATCTGTCTGTTAATGCTTTGTCCATAGGCATTATTAAAAAAAAGAGGGAGGGGAAAAAAAACTTCCATTACAGAAAAAAGAAGATATTCTTTTGAATTTGGAATGTTACAGCACATAGGAAGTGGAGCATTGAAATGTTGCAAATCCTTTTTCCTGCTGGGCAATCAAGCTGAAAAAAATAATTGGCGGCAGTGAAAGCATTTTTTCTAAACTTAATTGCTTTGCAAGGGTCACAGGATAAAGAGGAAGGTTATCTTTCCTTACATACTTATGCTTTGAAATTCGTCCCTACTCCCCATTGCAAATTAAGCTTTAACAAATATTTTCTGTTGGCACATTCTTACCTGTCCTAGTTTAAACACCATATAGAAGGTATTTTTGGAAATTAGAGCCCTGGGCTTTTGCTTCCTATCCCAACTGTAACCTTCCCAAGTTATTGACACCCAGGGATCTCTAGGAAACAGATTTGGGACAAGGGGATATGCAGGGGGGGTGGGGAGCGTGTATGCATATGCAGCTAGGTGGGCACGCGTGCGCTCTGTCAGCCCTCTGGCTGCCATTCAGGTGGGAGCCTGTCTATCGCCACATCCACTCGGCCATGCTTACATGCCACCAACGCTGCTGCGTTGATGTTAACTCTCTGATGTCAGCAGAGCCTGTAGCTGCATGTGGCTCTGCATGGCTTCTCTCACTACTCTACAGATGTGCCTCCTGGACAACAGCTGCACTTCAGAGCCTACTCTGACATAATTCTTCTACTCGGTGCATCTGCCTACTCAGAAGTAACTCTTCTACTGGGATGTAACTGCCTACTGTGATGTAACTTCTGCTTGGATGCAGCTGACCAGGAAGGAGGCTATGATGACACTAAGTGTCATCATGATGATTGGTGCTGGTGGTTGGGTGCCATCTGGGTGGAACTGGGTGGGATATATATATATATTCTATTTGTATGAAAAAAAGGTGATATAGCGACTGGAAAAGGGAGTGCTGGGTATCAATATGGAATATGTATGTATGTATGTATGTATGTATGTATGTATGTATGTATGTATGTATATGTGTGTGTGTGTACACACACACACACACACACACATACATATACACAGACACACACACACATATATATATATGTATGTATATATATATTCCATATTGATATCCAGCACTCCCTTTTCCAGTCGCTATATCACCTTTTTTTCATACAAATAGAACTTTCTGGCAACTAATGATATCATTTTAGAGTTTTAAACAATGTCTGCCAGCAAATAAACGTTAGCTTTTAAAAATATTCAGTCACAAAACATTAAAAAAGCAACTCACTAGCAATCTGGTAAACCTGGATCCTGGGTAACATAAGCAAGTTTTGTAAAAGTGATTGATGGAAGCTTGGGAATGTATTTTTGATACATTTATATGCTATAATCTTATAAACTAAATTGCAGATTTCTAATGAAGACAGTTATGCTACTTTATTGAGTTTTACAAGAGACAAAAACCTGAAAAGTTCTTTAAAACATGCTTAAAACATACAGAGCTTCGATTCTTGAAAAGAGGAAAACAGTAACAATAAAAAATCAGAATGCTGTATTATTAGCAGATAGACTAAAGAACAAATGATATTTTAACTGTCATAATGCACATACATTTACAATTTATCAATTCCATTAAACTAATTTCAGATTCAATCATTAAAAATAGATTTTAAGCAACTGTTCATAACATCCAATGAAGAAAACTAGTTTTTTTAATTATTCTTCAATCATTCAAATAGTGTGTATATAGATAATAATTGCAGTGTAATGTAGTGATGATTACATAGTATAGTACTGCTTTACACTCTCAAATTGCTCTGTCAACTGTTTGCACAAACATTCAAGAAGGCAAAAATTACACATTGTGCTTAAATTACCTGCATGTCTGCTACACTATGATAGGATGGAAGGTCACAGAAACAAATGTGCTGCATGTGTTGATTTTAAGAATTCTGGGACATTATAAAGTTCTAAAACCTTTTAATGACTACAAACATAGGCCTCCTTTCTTCTAAATGAGTAGTCATTAACATGGATTAGAATCTCATATAACCCTATCTTTAGTTTTGCATGTTAACAAAGCTGGCCCATAAAAAGCATAACCTGTATGGACAATATGTTGCTAAAGCTTTATAAAGTATGTTTAAAGTACTATAGCTTTATGCTGCAAATTACACAGTTACGCAACTAAAGTTTTTGATGCAGTTCAGAACAGGGAAAAAGATGTCCTGTTTTCTGTCTACATTGCAGAAACAAATGGGTGCATACAAAACAGTGTAGAATAGGGCTATGCATACAGTATGTTTTTGAATTAAACTCACAGTGCAATTACCGTGAAGTGCAATCCATATAAAAAGCTCTGTATTTTAAAATATTGATATATAAAATAGATCTCTCCAGTGTGATACTATTCTGATCTTAAATATCTCCTGTCTTTGGATAATTATTTGGGGAATCAAATAAAGGATATTTTTAATGTATGGCTACTTAGAGAAAGCATACTTGATTTTCTCATTTTAATGGCTAAGATTTCTTTACTATGTAAGAGAAACTTTAAGTTCCTATAAATTCTGAGATTAAATGCCTCTGGCATCCCTGTCCCAGTTCACCTGAAATTGCAATTCCAAAATAATTTCCTACTCTGCTCAATTATACTCCATTTCCTTTTCATACTTGCTGCATCTAGCTTCTATATTCTCTTCTACATAAGAAATAGCATTTTTCCCCTGCATGTCTTTTTCCCCAGCTGAAAATAATAATATTAGATGTAAGCTAATAGTAGAAAGAGGTGGTGAAAGTGGGTAGTTTGAAGGAGAAGCGAGGAAAGGAAAAAGCAAGATTAAGAGGAGGGTACCGCATACCCTGTTAATTTCGCCAGCTGTCTGTTTACCTTAAGTTATAACATGGGAGTAGAGATTTATGTAAGATCTTCAGTGATACAAGGAAGATGTATTAAATTGGTTAAACTAATTATATGACTATTATTGATATATTGGTTTATTGGCTGCGTAATGGAGTGAGCTCCCGTTACTTGTCCCAGCTTCTGCCAACCTAGCACATCATGTAAATCTGACATTTACTCTGTTCTTCAAATAGTCCCATCTTGGGAGGCAATAACACTGTGTTTAGTGAAAGCTACAACACTGTTTCATATCTATGATTTTGAATCTTTCCTGTGTGGAGATGCCTGAAACAAACTTTTCAATAATTAGTTTGTGGACCCTAAAAGACCAGCCCTATAAAATTCTCATATAAACTCTTATACAAAATATACCTTTAAAAAAAATCTTCAAATCTGAAAATTGTATATTACAACTATTGGATGTAATGGGATTTCAGAATTTAGACATTGTGTATTTGCTTTTGTGTATGTAGGGAAGCCTGAATAAATATCAATTAAAGTTTTCATACAGTATATGGAAATATCACATCCAAATGTTTATCTGGATATGAGCAAAATATCTGGTGAATCAGATATTTTGCTGTTAGGCCTGTTTTAGGATTTTGGAAGGAATTTGCTAAAAAAAAAAACCATCACAGGAATTATTTAAAAATATATCAACATGCCAATTAATACGTATAATATAGGACTAGATCCAGCCATGCCTTTTTCATGGAGGATCTATGTCCAGTGGAAGTTCATAAATGAAGGGAAAATAACTATTCGTTATATCTCTTTGATTCCTGAAGAATGATTTAAATACTGAGAGACTTTATGGACAAATTTGGAGATGGCAGTAGAAGTTTTAGGAATAAGCAGTAATTGAGAAATCTGTATGCTACTCAAAGTATACCTCATGTTTTCATACAAAGAATATATTTGAAACTTTGATGGGTGCTTGTGTCACTGAAGTCAACTTTAATATGAGAAAACCTTGACCTTTAGTTTGGCTTTTGAACATTTTCCCACAAAAGACGGCAAAAGATCTTATGTCCAAATCTTTATTTCCTTCAGACAGCTTTGTACAATTCTACAGAGTGCTTTTCCTCAGACCCCAAAATTACAAAGTGAACTTTGAAAAGTCTAAGCACATGGAGACTCGTGTGCTAACAACATTAAGACAAACAAAGAGTAAATGGCATAAAGAAGAACAAAGCTTGCTTTCTTTTCATGGGAAGAGGAGACAAAGGCACTTTGAGCAAACAGCCGCTCAGCAAAATGTTTCTGAAGATTCCATAAAGCTGACCCACACTACAGCAAACATGTGTAACAAGCATAATAGAAAGAGACATGATTGTGCAGATCACTTCACCTTTCCTTAATCAAAAGGTATGCATGGGTGTGTGTGTATGTGTCTCTGTGTATGCCAAAAATCTTGACACAAGGTGTCTGTTTACAATAAAGTGCATTGTTGGGCATAACACAATTTGTATGTAAGCACAGAATCCCTGGTATCTTCATACAAACTGCAACTAGATTTCATTAACGGTGCAGAAGTATGGCTTTAACAAATGGCCATTATCATTCATATATATATATATATTGAATATGTATTAAACAGCACACTTATGCGTAAGTAACAAAGTAGGAGGTAGTGGTTTTTTTAATATATATATAAGGCAGTCATTGATTATGTAGCAAAATTATCATAAAATTTAAAGAAAAAACAAATACAATGTTAAATCAGTTTTTACATTATTTTCAAGTGTATATGACTATCTACAGTATAACTAGGCTATTATTCTCCCTCTCCCATTATAAAAAACCTCCCAAACTGATTCCTATTTCTGAAATATTATTTTGGTACTATAAGCTTTTCTAGTTTATTGCATTAAAGCATACATATTTAAATTTATCACTTTAAAAACATGAGAGATCATATACTGTTTCTGAAGCCTGATGGCATAATTATATTTCCAGAGCATAAAACTGTATCCTATATAAATCTGCAAAATCAGATACCAAAAGCTGCCCATACAAAATAGTCACATATTAGTAGTAAACAGGTGTGACAAGCCAAATGATAATTGCCATTTAACCTTTATCTACTGCTAAATTATACACATTACTTAGGAGTCTAGGCATAACATAAACTTAACCAATGTTTTTTATATATTAATATAGTTTCCCACATATCTATATATCTTAGATATCAAATGAATTAAAGCAGCAGCATTGATTATTCTTCTTGTGTCAAAAATGTATTGTGAGTGATTTATGTAAACATTCCTATCAGCTTCGGTTCTACTGCTTTTGTTCAACAACTTCCAGATAGATCTTCTTAAAAAATAAAATAAAATAAAGCAAAACAAGTCATGCTTACATCTCTATATCAGCAGCATATGCCACTTCAGCTACTTCAATTTCTGGCACAAAGTTTTCTACCAGTGACTCATTCCAAGGGGTTTTCCAATCCTCTTTTTCAGACCTGCAGATTCAGATCAATATATTTATCATAAAAATGTGAGCCAGCAAGCTCTTTCTATCACTCAATCCTAATATCTGCTGTATTTTAAAACTACAAGTTTGGGGGACACTGTCTATCTGCAAATTGCTGGGCTCATATTTTATATAATACTCATATCCTATGAGTTATAATGCTGTGCAATCTCTTTAGCAAACAGCCAATTGGAGAGCTAGTGGCATCAATTAATTGACTTTTAATTTCAATTTCATCCAATGACTTTTTGAATGGCAGAAAAGCACTGGAAAACCCAAGTACATGTGGGTACTATATAGAAACTTTGAAGACAAGTAATATAAAATTTACTATGTTGGATTATAATAAAGGCACAATCCTATGTAAAGTATCTCCAGTAAAATGCCTGAAATGTCTGCAGTGCGTTACCCCCAAAGGACTGTTCTAAGCTTGCAGATGATTTGCATTTCAGAGCTTAACTTTAAATAAAATTGCTCAATGATCATTTACCGGGTGTCTTCTTCCAAGGTTCTTTGATCTGCCTCTGTTGCGGATGACTCCACTTCTCCACTGCATTCACTTCCCTCTCCTGACAACTTACAAGACTTTGTTTCCACTAAATTTAAATCCCTGCAACAAAATCAAGGCAGGTCTTTTATTTTAGTTGGAAATTATTATAAAAATGTCTCTGGGGAAAAGCTTCCTTCGTTGGGGAAAATTATGCACATGTATTTAAAAGAGTCATTGCATTCAGTGGAGTTTGCTCCTAGAAATTGGGGATAAAACTGCAGTCTTAGAAGACTTTTCTAGGAATAATTACATTTCATTATTTTAAAGCGCAGCTTTCTACTGATAGAACAAAGCAGTAATTTTCATTATTATTACAATCATTAATATTACATACTGAATGTATGCTGAAAAATGTTCACCGAAGATAAAGTCATCTCTGATATCATTTATTTTGTGTTTGGGATTGTAAAATTGAATATTTCTGAAATTATTAAATATAAACGGAATGTTTAATTCTGAAAAAGACTTTTGCCAGAAAAGCATTCCCCAAGGGACTGCAAGCTCTGTGGCAATTTTCTCATTCTTCTTTTCAAAAAGAAGTTAAGACATGATACGGGTTGTATCACAAAGTCTCACATATGTTCTTGGTGGAGAGACAGAACTTAAAACTTCCTATTTGATTACAATCTCTTCAAGTATTTCCTGCCTTATGGGGACCCGTGGGGAACCGGCCAACATTAAGATGGCTCTGTTACTATTAATATCCCTTTGTAGATGCTTGTTTAGCTGTATTTTATAGTTTTTAATGCTTTTAATAATTATAATTGTTATTTGTGAACGATGTTTTTAAACTTTGTTGTAGGCCTCCCAGAGTTATTTCTGTTGTGAGTTGGGCAGTTATAGAAATTTGAAAAATAAATACATACAAGGAAGCATTCAGAAATCCTAAAATATTAGCTTCATATCACTAGCTATGATAGTGAGATTTTGTGGTGAGCAGCTTTGTTTCGGTCTTACCCAAGTCTTTTCTCCATTTCATTTATGTACAATTCTTTTTCATTTAACAACTTTTTCAGAGCTTCCACCTCTTTTTGTTTTTCATTAAGCTCCTTTTGAAGCCGGTAGTTTGTTTCCTCCAAAGTTTCACAAAAAGCCTAGAAGGAAATTTAAATGTTTGAAAGTAAGTTGGGTTTTCTTTTGTAAAAAGCAACACACATACATTGACTTAGTCTTCTTCTACAAACAATTATGAATTATTTTTATATGTACACAAATATCATTTGGATTTGGTTTTCTTTCATTGAAAATAATATTATGATATAGTAATAATATGATCAAGCTATCATTCCCTAATTATTGGACAAATCTGTAATGAAAATATAACACCTTCAAGGTTTTCTTTTGGCCTCTGATCACGTATTGCTGAATTATGAATTTCAAGCTTCCATTGTAGCAGTAAGATATAAACTTGTAGCACTGACTACCAAGATTTATTCTTACTAATATATTAGTGATTTTAATAGAATGTCACTTAAATCTGATGAAGTAAATTATTTATGCTGTGTACACTATGGTTAATTTCATCAAAAAGGGGTGACAAGATAGTTTTGATAAAAATCAAAACTGAGATGAGCTATGCATTACTTACAGTAAGTAAATAAGCCTAGATGATATATATGTGTATATGTATGTGTACACACTATTCAGAGTTTGAAAGACTAATCATGCTATCCTGTTTTATTTTTGGACTTTAACCACAATAAAAAAAAACAAGCAATTAAGGAGGATACTCAAATATCTCTGACATGAATGCTAAGCCCTCTGGTAGCCTCAGCAGATCATAGCACCTAAATGATCTTGTCTGCATTCAGGTGCTAATTAGGGCTCTGATTAGTCCTTGGATGAAAAATCATCAGAGTGTATGAATCAGGAAGTTAGAGCTGGACATTAAAGATGCACAAGATTAAAGATGACAAAGGCAAATCATGTTTTTGAAAAAAAACAACGGCATAGATGTGTCTTTATGAAATTAGACTTGAGAATGCCTTTTCCTTTCTTTTACAGCCACCATTTTGTGAAGTAAATTATATACTTAAATTATATACTTTGGTTAAGATAACCAAATAATTTTTGTTAGATACCCATTTATCATCCATATGTGACAAATATTGCATGGCAGTTCTACATTTTCATTGTATGTAAATACAGATCTGAAGTGCATCCATATGTGACAAATATTGCATGGCAGTTCTACATTTTCATTGTATGTAAATACAGATCTGAAGTGCAGAATATGTGACAAATATTGCATGGCAGTTCTACATTTTCATTGTATGTAAATACAGATCTGAAGTGCAGAATATGTGACAAATATTGCATGGCAGTTCTACATTTTCATTGTATGTAAATACAG